TTTTAAAATTTATTTATTGTACCATGCAATTTGTTGTGTTAATTTGATTATAAGTCTACATCTTGTTTTGAACCTTAGCAATAAAAATGGTTAAAAATGTCAAGCAGAAAGATCTTCGGCAGATGTTTCCAGCTAAAGTTAGTAAATTGAAGAAGTCCCAAGATGTAGAAACTGACATAAAAGTATCTCTGAACGTTGTTGATGGGATACCCTCATCTTCAACAGATATTGTAGCAGAGGCTCAAGGTAAATTTGATTCCTGGTAAAAAATATTTATTAAGTAGGAGAGTGCAATTCTACATGTCATGGTTAGAGGATCCTTGATTGATTTCTTTTCAATCATTTGCATAACTAAGTTTTTACCATTATTTGATGCTTTTTGGTAATCTTTCTTCGCTCTTATGAGTAGGTCGATAATATAGTTTCATAGTTGGGGAAGAAACCTCGTGCCAAATTGTTCTGACAGAACAAGGTTAGAAATTTTAGAGCAATACTAACTAAGTCATGCAGTGGTTATTGAATTGCAAAATGTATTGAACCATTTGTTCTTGAAAATCATAGATAAATTGTTCTACAAATTCAAAATGTTAAGCTTAGTAATAGTCAAAGAATAATTTTATCAAGGGTCCTCTGACCATACAACTCGAATTACACCCACCGATCCTTTATACATAATTTTGTTATTGAGAAACACTTTTGAGACAATGCTTTTGGAACACCAAGTTGTATTACATGAAATTAAAGAAAAGCTTGGTTCTCTGAATGTCTTTCTAACAGAAGGACCAGCAAGTAAGCGTTTAAAAACAGAAAACTACAATGGGGACTCCAATAAGAATCTCAAAAAGAAAAGCCTTGCATCTAAGCCTTTGAAATGTGATGTCTGCAAACAAGTAAGTTGACAAAACTTAAATGCGTTCAAATTTTACTCTAGTTAGTATATATATGTATATGTATATATACATTTAAAAAATAAATATTGAGTCACCAATATATTAAATGAATTTTAATGTACTAGCTCATTCAAGTGTTATATTAAAATCAGCTGCTGGATTCTGAATCGTTGAAGATGTTCGGAGGTGATGATGCTGATGCTGTAGAGGAGTTCATTGCATTGGCTTCAGAGTCCTTGTCCCTGTTTGACGCTGACAGTAATGGTAAACTTACATCTTTTGGTGGAAATTTTGTAAAAGTTCTATCTGCTGAATTTTTCAGTTCTTCTAAATAAATGATTTAGGAATTGGGGGAATCATAACGAAATTGATTTATAATTCAGGTGACAGTGAGTGGAACGAAAAACCGCAGCATCGTATCACTGACTTTACTGTGTATGATGAGTATGGTCACTTGTGCCCCTTTGACACTGGTGAGTTAGAAATAGCAGATAATCTGTTTTCAGTGCTATGGGTGGGTAGCCTTGTAACATGTTGATACTTGATAGGGTGCCCAGTTGGCTATATTTTCACAGTTTGGGCACATTCTAGGCACTAAGCGAGACTTAGTCAAGGAAGTTAAGACTTAGTCAAGGAAAATCCATTAAAGATGGACTTGTTTACTTACACTCATCTTATTTATCATGTTCATAAATGTTTAAGCATTATATCAATAGTCGGTACTATATTATACATACTACTCGCCTGTATAAACATTAAACCTATCTACTCCCAGGGTTGATAGACCAGAATGTACATCTCTACTTTAGTGGTTATGTTAAACCTATCTACGACGATTCCCCAAGTCTTCAAGGTGAAACATCTTCTCCTACAATAAACCTACATGTACAGTTATGCCACTGAACACAGATTAATATTATACCTGTACTAAAATAGATTAGGTTATCTGATAACATATTATATATAATATATAATATAACATTCACCACATTCAGGTGGAGTGCGGGGTTCCAGACTGGGTCCCATTGATTCCTGGTACATAGCTGGGTTTGATGGAGGGGAGAAAGAACTAATAGGCTTCACCACAGGTACTATATACTGTACTATATGTGTTATATGTGTGTACTGTTCATTATTGTGTGTTTAAGAATAAGGTTGGTACAATAAAACTCCAATTTACCCTACCCATACTTTACCACTTTATACCGGGGCTTTTGTTCAATGTAATTCTGAGTAAATTTATTACCCAACCAAGTTGACTGATAAGACCACTTCTCTTGTCAGCATATGCAGACTATCTGTTATCCCAACCCAGTGAACAGTATGGTCACGTGGTGTGACGTCATAACACGTGGTGTGACGTCATAACACCACTTCTCTTGTCAGCATATGCAGACTATCTGTTTTCCCAACCCAGTGAACAGTATGGTCACGTGTTGTGACGTCATAACACGTGGTGTGCCGTCATAACACGTGGTGTGCCGTCATAACACGTGGTGTGACGTCATAACACCACTTCTCTTGTCAGCATATGCAGACTATCTGTTATCCCAACCTAGTGAACAGTATGGTCACGTGGTGTGACGTCATAACACGTGGTGTGACGTAATAACACGTGGTGTGACGTAATAACACCACTTCTCTTGTCAGCATATGCAGACTATCTGTTATCCCAACCCAGTGAACAGTATGCCCTCTTATTCGACATGTTACGTGAGAAAACATATCTTAGCAAAACAGTAATCGAGATATTGGAGGAGGATTCAGGTTTGTAGTTTATAAATTAACATATAATAATATGCTAATAATATGCTAATAATATGTTAATACTGATATAGTAGCAGTGCAGTGGTGAAGTCCACCCGACCACTGCAGATCCAAGCTGTTGAACTAAATTTTATATCCGTTTTAAAAAAAAACGATTTTAGTCGTTACTTAATACTTAATACTTCCACTACCTCTCAGATATGACAATGGAGGATCTGATCAACTGTGTTCAGCTAGTAGTGCCACCCGAGAACTGCGCCAAGTTCTCCGAGGAAACTCTTCTGAAGCACGCTCAGTTTCTCATTGAGCAGATCGAGAGCTATGATAGAGTTAGTTTTTTATTTTTTATTTTAGTTATATTTTTAGTTTCATTAAGGATTTAGTTTTGTTATATTTTTAGTTTTTTTAAGGATGTAGTTGACCCAATTAATCTAATTAACTAATTATCTAATTAACTAATTATCTAATAACTGTTAGGCTGCTGATGATAATGAGGACCTACTAATTATCTAATTAACTAATTATCTAATAACTGTTAGGCTGCTGATGATAATGAGGACCTACTGATTATCTAATTAACTAATTAACTAATAACTGGTAGGCTGCTGATGATGATGAGGACCTACTAATTATCTGATTAACTAGGTAATTATCTAATAACTGTTAGGCTGCTGATGATGATGAGGACCTACTAATTATCTAATTAACTAATTATCTAATAACTGTTAGGCTGCTGATGATGATGAGGACCTACTAATTATCTAATTAACTAATTATCTAATTAACTAATTATCTAATAACTGTTAGGCTGCTGATGATGATGAGGACCTACTAATTATCTAATTAACTAATTATCTAATAACTGTTAGGCTGCTGATGATAATGAGGACCTACTAATTATCTAATTAACTAATTATCTAATTAACTAATTATCTAATAACTGTTAGGCTGCTGATGATAATGAGGACCTACTAATTATCTAATTAACTAATTATCTAATAACTGTTAGGCTGCTGATGATAATGAGGACCTACTAATTATCTAATTAACTAATTATCTAATTAACTAATTATCTAATAACTGTTAGGCTGCTGATGATGATGAGGACCTACTAATTATCTAATAACTAATTATCTAATAACTGTTAGGCTGCTGATGATAATGAGGACCTACTAATTATCTAATTAACTAATTATCTAATTAACTAATTATCTAATAACTGTTAGGCTGCTGATGATAATGAGGACCTACAAATTATCTAATTAACTAATTATCTAATAACTGTTAGGCTGCTGATGATAATGAGGACCTACTAATTATCTAATTAACTAATTATCTAATTAACTAATTATCTAATAACTGTTAGGCTGCTGATGATAATGAGGACCTACTAATTATCTAATTAACTAATTATCTAATAACTGTTAGGCTGCTGATGATAATGAGGACCTACTAATTATCTAATTAACTAATTATCTAATTAACTAATTATCTAATAACTGTTAGGCTGCTGATGATGATGAGGACCTACTAATTATCTAATTAACTAATTATCTAATAACTGTTAGGCTGCTGATGATAATGAGGACCTACTAATTATCTAATAACTAATTATCTAATTAACTAATTATCTAATAACTGTTAGGCTGCTGATGATAATGAGGACCTACTAATTATCTAATTAACTAATTATCTAATAACTGTTAGGCTGCTGATGATAATGAGGGACCTACTGATTATCTAATTAACTAATTATCTAATAACTGTTAGGCTGCTGATGATGATGAGGACCTACTAATTATCTAATTAACTAGGTAATCATCTAATAACTGTTAGGCTGCTGATGCAGATGAGGACCTTCTAATTATCTAATTAACTAATTATCTAATAACTGTTAGGCTGCTGATGATGATGAGGACCTACTAATTATCTAATTAACTAATTATCTAATAACTGTTAGGCTGCTGATGATGATGAGGACCTACTAATTATCTAATTAACTAATTATCTAATTAACTAATTATCTAATAACTGTTAGGCTGCTGATGATAATGAGGACCTACTAATTATCTAATTAACTAATTATCTAATTAACTAATTATCTAATAACTGTTAGGCTGCTGATGATAATGAGGACCTACTAATTATCTAATTAACTAATTATCTAATAACTGTTAGGCTGCTGATGATAATGAGGACCTACTGATTATCTAATTAACTAATTAACTAATAACTGGTAGGCTGCTGATGATGATGAGGACCTACTAATTATCTAATTAACTAGGTAATTATCTAATAACTGTTAGGCTGCTGATGATGATGAGGACCTAATAATTATCTAATTAACTAATTATCTAATAACTGTCAGGCTGCTGATGATGATGAGGACCTACTGATCACAGTGCCCGCAGTGAGAGGGCTTATCCAGCTGGCTGGAGTTACTCTGGGTGGGACACAGCCAGCTAACTCTCATAGAGCTCTCGTTAATGTTCAACCTAAGGTTTGTTAAATTTAGCTAGGCAGCAGTAAGTTGCAGTGAATAGTTGTTAACCTTCAACTGTTGACCCTGTTACTTCAACTTTTCAAAAGTTACCTCTAAAACGGGTTGTTGGATCTGTACATTTTAGCGCATATTTGTAATTCTATTGCGCACCTGAAAATGTATAGTTTATTTAAAATTGTCGACCCCCAGGTTGCTAGTAAAACTAAAAGTACGGACATATCGCACGCAACTGTCACGCCCCTCGTACAATCTTCCTTCGAGGCCATTTTCGTGGATCAAATGCAAGCAACTGTGAGTTTCAAGCTAGTTCTCATTTCATGCTCATTATTATCAATTAACACGCTTCTACAATGAAAACAAAATGATTTATTTAAGCTTAATTAATAATTCTTGTTAAATTTTGATAAATAGCGATCATCATCTAATTTAAACTTCTTCGAGTATCTTATCACTTATGTTTAATTTTTTCCATCCACCACTTAAAAAAAAGTAAAGGATGGTTACGAATGGATAATAGTGAAAAGGAGGGATTTTTGTGATCAGGGTAGGTGGTGACCCTGGCCCTGGGATTAGATAAATGATGGGAAATTTAAACAAAACATTTTTAATTTATCAATAAGTAATGTGAGTGATTGTAAACTTGTAAAACAACTAAAAAGAGTCAAAGCATTATTAAACAATAAACAGTGAGTCTTTACCATTGGTAAGACCAAATACTACAATACACTAAAATTCGACTAATTCTGGTGGTGTTGCTTCTCCACCCACTGCTGGTAATGTTGGTCAATGTCACGACAATCATCAGGGCCGTGTGTTGCTACATAACACGTGGTGTGACGTCATAACACGTGGTGTGACGTCATAACACGTGGTGTGACGTCATTACACGTGGTGTTGCTCCTCCACCCACTGCTGGTAATGTTGGTCAATGTCAGGACAATCCTCAGGACCATGTGTTGCTACAGTGTAGATTGTGGTGCCGCCCACGTAAGCAATGCAAGCAAAACATTCGTCCTCTTTTATTTCGTCTGTAGATTTAACTTTAGACGTATAAGCGTTCACCCGCCTCTTGTATTTCATATCTGCATCTACTTCCTCTACACCATCTACTCCTCTCATTACTAGGCCTACTCTCACGTGAGATTTCAAATCCAGGTCCATACCATATTTGCTAGCGGTGACCTCACACATTACCTTACCCTTTACAAAGCTGGTACCTTTAACGGTCCTAGTTTTGGGCACAATGCGGGTTACCTTGAAGTGCCACACCTGGTTAGAGCACTTCACAGCTAGTTCCTCCCCGCTAAAACACGGCACTTCAGACTCGCCGTACTTATCCATTGTACACTCTGACATCACATCTTTAGCCTCAGCACTACATTTCAGATTTGTCTGCCCGAATGGTGTGGTATCCTGGTTTCTACGTTTCCTATCTGGTCTGTACTCTCTAACGTCAGCCAGAACTCCCATTTTGTAGCCCTGTTCTCTGCAAATAGCATTGACCTCGTCTTTACCCACATTTTCGTTACAAATAGTGGACTTGTGACCCGTGTTATCGTGTATCACCACCACCCCATGGTTAGCGCCCGTGTGAAGTTCCAACCATGACTCTGCTTCAGCACGCTTAATGGCAGCTTTAACCCAGTCAGTGTAATGGTGGAGGTTAAGGAACATATTGTACGCTTTCTCTTTCGCGTCCCCTGCTCCCCAGCTCACTAAGCCTATTTGTGCGAAGTTTTCTCCAGATTTCACGAAAAGTGGGCCTCCAGAGTCCCCAGCAAAGGCAGTAGCTTCCCGATCAGGATCAACCACGCACATCGTGCTCTCTGTGGAAATATATAGTTACTATCATGGTTGCCATGGTTACACGGTACTCTCTGTGGAAATATATAGTTTAAGAAGATCGGGAGATGGATCAGTACGATAGTGTCGGCGATTGTTAACGGTACGCTAGAAGACGTGCACAAATTACTCTGATAATTATTTTGCAACTTTATACTTATTAGATATAGATATAATTACTGCGTTTTGAAATCAAAGAAATATCGAACCGGGGATTTCCAGCTCATAGTCAACAGCTCCGTACATATCTTCATATTTCTCATAATCATCTGCCCAGTACTGCTCACACTGTTCCTTGTTGGCTATCTGGTACACTAGTTCCTGTAAGGTGTCTGCAATAGGAAGGTCCTCATACTCCCCCTCGTCTCCAATCACTCCCCATCCTATCACTGTAACAGAGGTTCCTTCTGTGTAATGACTGTTATCCTCTGCTAGTGCAATGGTGGCGACCACGCCCTCTTTTACTCTTACTTCTTCCTTCAGTACTATCAGCGCTACGTCGTTCATAGGAACTGTAACATTATTATATTAGACCTGCATGTGTGCTAACTAATAATTATATTCTTAAAAATTGTGAAAATTATAATATTTATATCACATATAATATTTATGTATATATTATTATATTAGACCTACATGTCTGCTACTAATAATTGTATTCTTAAAAATTGTGAAAATTATTATTATTATATTTATATCACATATAATATTTATGTATATATTATATATAGTAATAAAATGATAGACTCGAAATTATTTGTCCCTAAATCTTTAAAAAGTTGTTAACTTGGTTAACCCCCCACCTCCGAGTTGGTCGAGATGGTAGTTATCATGAACAATAATACGACTACCCTCCGCAATCTGCTCACTTTCCTCAGTTTCACTGGTGTGGTCCCCCACCACTACACGTTCCAACTCTACACTTATCTTTACACCATCAAACACTACACAGTGCGCAGCAGTGAGAACTATCCGAGGGCTTATTAGAGATCCTCCGCACATGTGGTCTCCTTCTAGTGTCGTCACACGTACCTGACACAATATAGTTAGTCTCCTTCTAGTGTCGTCACACGTACCTGACACATTATAGTTAGTCTCCTTCTAGTGTCGTCACACGTACCTAACACATATAGTTAGTCTTCTTCTAGTGTCGTCACACGTACCTGACACAATATAGTTAGTCTCCTTCTAGTGTCGTCACACGTACCTGACACATTATAGTTAGTCTCCTTCTAGTGTCGTCACACGTACCTAACACATTATAGTTAGTCTTCTTCTAGTGTCGTCACACGTACCTGACACAATATAGTTAGTCTCCTTCTAGTGTCGTCACACGTACCTGACACAATATAGTTAGTCTCCTTCTAGTGTCGTCACAGTACCTGACACATTATAGTTAGTCTCCTTCTAGTGTCGTCACACGTACCTGACACAATATAGTTAGTCTCCTTCTAGTGTCGTCACACGTACCTGACACAATATAGTTAGTCTCCTTCTAGTGTCGTCACACGTACCTGACACAATATAGTTAGTCTCCTTCTAGTGTCGTCACACGTACCTGACACATTATAGTTAGTCTCCTTCTAGTGTCGTCACACGTACCTGACACATTATAGTTAGTCTCCTTCTAGTGTCGTCACACGTACCTGACACAATATAGTTAGTCTCCTTCTAGTGTCGTCACACGTACCTGACACTTATAGTTAGGTCTCCTTCTAGTGTCGTCACACGTACCTGACACATTATAGTTAGTCTCCTTCTAGTGTCGTCACACGTACCTGACACATTATAGTTAGTCTCCTTCTAGTGTCGTCACACGTACCTGACACAATATAGTTAGTCTCCTTCTAGTGTCGTCACACGTACCTGACACATTATAGTTAGTCTCCTTCTAGTGTCGTCACACGTACCTGACACATTATAGTTAGTCTCCTTCTAGTGTCGTCACACGTACCTGACACAATATAGTTAGTCTCCTTCTAGTGTCGTTACACGTACCTGACACATTATAGTTAGTCTCCTCTAGTGTCGTCACACGTACCTGACACAATATAGTTAGTCTCCGTCTAGTGTCGTCACACGTACCTGACACATTATAGTTAGTCTCCTTCTAGTGTCGTCACACGTACCTGACACATTATAGTTAGTCTCCTTCTAGTGTCGTCACACGTACCTGACACATTATAGTTAGTCTCCTTCTAGTGTCGTCACACGTACCTGACACATTATAGTTAGTCTCCTTCTAGTGTCGTCACAGGTACCTGACACAATATAGTTAGTCTCCTTCTAGTGTCGTCACACGTACCTGACACAATATAGTTAGTCTCCGTCTAGTGTCGTCACACCGTACCTGACACCAATATAGTTAGTCTCCTTCTAGTGTCGTCACACGTACCTGACACAATATAGTTAGTCTCCTTCTAGTGTCGTCACACGTACCTGACACATTATAGTTAGTCTTCTTCTAGTGTCGTCACACGTACCTGACACATTATAGTTATTCTCCTTCTAGTGTCGTCACACGTACCTGACACATTATAGTTAGTATCCTTCTAGTGTCGTCACACGTACCTGACACAATATAGTTAGTCTCCTTCTAGTGTCGTCACACGTACCTGACACATTATAGTTAGTCTCCTTCTAGTGTCGTCACACGTACCTGACACATTATAGTTAGTCTCCTTCTAGTGTCGTCACACGTACCTGACACATTATAGTTAGTCTCCTTCTAGTGTCGTCACACGTACCTGACACATTATAGTTAGTCTCTTCTAGTGTCGTCACAGGTACCTGACACAATATAGTTAGTCTCCGTCTAGTGTCGTCACACGTACCTGACACAATATAGTTAGTCTCCTTCTAGTGTCGTCACACGTACCTGACACAATATAGTTAGTCTCCTTCTAGTGTCGTCACACGTACCTGACACATTATAGTTAGTCTTCTTCTAGTGTCGTCACACGTACCTGACACATTATAGTTATTCTCCTTCTAGTGTCGTCACACGTACCTGACACATTATAGTTAGTATCCTTCTAGTGTCGTCACACGTACCTGACGCAATATAGTTAGTCTCCTTCTAGTGTCGTCACACGTACCTGACACATTATAGTTAGTCTTCTTCTAGTGTCGTCACACGTACCTGACACATTATAGTTATTCTCCTTCTAGTGTCGTCACACGTACCTGACACATTATAGTTAGTATCCTTCTAGTGTCGTCACACGTACCTGACACATTATAGTTAGTCTCCTTCTAGTGTCGTCACATGTACCTGACGCATTATAGTTAGTCTCCTTCTAGTGTCGTCACACGTACCTGACGCAATATAGTTAGTTTGTGCCCAGTTTGTAATAATAACTAGTAAATATTTGATAATAATAAACAGACTAACCATAAAGGGGTACTCTCCCTTTTCAGTATCTTCACCGTTAATAATTAAAGTTTGCGCTGGACTGTCTCCCCAATCATCTGTTGCTTTCCCTGGCTGTTCAGTAGTGATGGACTGGATGACAATCAGAACCAGTAGCAGGTGCGTAACAACCTGGAATTAGCATAACTAATAACTAATAACTAATAACTATAAATATTTGCGATTTTATTATTCCCGACACGAAAAATTTTCAAAGTGTTCCTGAAAAGCACGTTTCATGCAATTTTATCACTTTTGGCGAACTTTTTTTTCCGAATTTTAGAAATTTTTCAAGTCTCAAAAAAAGATGTAAGTGAAAAATTGTTGAAATTTTTCTCCGTGTTTCAAGCGATTCCAATCATTTTATGATTTTAAGTATTTAGCTAATTAATAATTATCCAATTATATGATTGCCCGATTAGGTGGAAAATTTTTTCATACAAAAGTTTTTTTCGTTGATAAGATAAACACCCTCGAATCTCGATTAATCTGTAACCTTCTACGATGTTCACACCTAAAGATATTCGACAAACAAGAAAGGTGGTAAAAAGTGGCAAAAGTGGAAAAAGTGGCCGTAAGACGTGGAAAAGTTTGGAAAAGTTGCCGTTGGTCAACCGGTTGGGACATCGAATGGAACTCAAAAACGTCAAAAATCCTTAGAAAGCCGGATAATCAGCTTCGTGTGCCGGTAAATCGATTTTTTCAGACGGATCTGTCTGTATAGTACTATTGCTGCTAAATCAACAATAAATTATCCTTTCACTCACCATTTGCATTGTTCAGTTGTGATGAAATTAGTCGTTCAAAAAACCTTAAACCTGACTTGTAGAAAAATTAAATTATCAAGAAAAAGAATGGAACTTCGTAGAAAATGTGCCTACAGTATAGTATAGAGCGATTATTTGGGTAGGAACATTAGTTTACTGATCTAACTAAGTAAACTAAACTAAAGAGAGAGAGCTTAAACCAAAGCGAACAGAAAGATATGTAATTACACTAGTGTTAAGTGTAACGGGCACTAGGATTTTAAATGAAATGAGAAATCTAATGAATTATCATATTTTAATATCCTGATCACTAGTCAGCGACTATTAGTCACGTGCTATTATGCTATATCACGTGCTATATCACCTGCTAATATCACGTGCTAATATCAGGGGATGGTTTGTAGTCATCCTGTTCTACTAACTTACTAACTGGTCACATTGGTAATTCATTCAGCGTTCGGAGATTATTTATACGTAAAATGAAATTATCCAAATTGAATTATCCAAATTCATGATCTGTCACCCCTGGCCCTCCTTACCTTATATACAGGGGGGCCTGTATTATTACAATAACTAATCAGAATGATAGCGGTTTTGGCCCTGAACCTGTGTTATGGGGCTGGCTGTTTCGGTATAGCCCCCCCCCCCCCCCCCCCCCCCCCCCCCCCCCCCCCCCCCCCCCCCCCGGGGACCAACAAAGTCTTTTGAACCTACAGTAAGTAGATCAATTGGTGGCCTGCTTTTAACAAGAATTTCGCCGCGGTAACACCACGCACGATCAAAAATCCCTACTGCCTACAATGTAATTGTTCTACTTTACTGTATCCCAGAGTGGTGTTTGGCGCACGTGATAATCGTTTTCATAATATTAGGCGTGCAGAAATAAAGTAACATGTAAAGTAACATCTGTTCTTAAATATGTAATCGCTTTTTACCATTCAGTGTCGATCAACTGTTAAATAATCGGCCACGAGTTTATCAGCTGATATAATAATTTAATTTGTTTTGACTTGCTGAATTTTATCACTCGGTAATTTATTAAGCTTGTTTCAACAAAATAACACTTATATTGATGATTGATCCGCTCAGATGACTAATATGCTGTATTAATGAATTAGAGTAAATTGTAACCCGATGGAAACCTGTGTAACAGTCGTCAAGCACCTAAAACTGGCCTGTAATTAATTAAAACATAACTGGCGTCGCGCGCAAAATAGGTTCCTTTTATACACATAATTATAGGGGAGTGGTCTATATTGTGAAGGAGCAGACTTTTGTCATCATTGTAGCGCCGTCGGACCACCTCATATATCCAAACCCGATTACTTATTCCCTACGATATTTATATATTATATTCCCTACGGATTTGCTAAATACTGACATCACCCTTGTTACTAATTGTGGAGTGAGCTTTATAAGAAGTTGGAGCACAACATTACGTTCCGATATGTTTAAGTTTATTACGTTAGTTAAGTTTAAGTGTATTCTCTGGTAAGTGGTAATGTTTCATAATCTTCTTCTGTCGCTTGATTGCCATTTATTTGAAAATTTCATTGCAGTATGATGTTTTGGACGGATCGAGTTTATACTTTAGCGACAGTGATATCCTGCCGAAGGTAACACTAGTGAACTCTTGAACTCTATAATATCGAGCTCTGCATCCAAATTTCGTTGCGATATATCCAAACGAAAGTAAAGGAACCTGAAGATGAAGGGGGGTAACAAGTTTTATAGGGTGTTGAAATAATTAGGCAGGGAGTTGATTACAGACAAAAGATTGGAGACGTTTTACAAGATTTGTGGCCCCCAAGCCCTAACATCATTATTTTATTGACCAATGTCCTCCAATAAGGGTTAAGTTTTTATAGAAGAGGCCACATCTTACCTGGGCGACGACTATTTTGGCATGCGCCCTAGCAAAATGATAGGAAATTTAATTGGTTGTAAATCTGCCCACTAAAAAACATGCAACTTGTAAAAACTGACATTTAAAGCAAAGCGTAACACACAGTAAAAAGGCGTGGTATGGAACACTCCGCTTAGTATTAATCTCACATCGTAATTTCATCAGTCACGGCAGACACGGTGTAATGAATGTGAGGTATGCAAGATGCCTGATTGTGGAGAATGCAACATGTGCAAGGATAAGATAAAGTTTGGAGGATCGGGCAAAAAGAGGCAAGCCTGTATGGAACGGAAGTAAGTTTTTGCGATAGTAATACAATCTTCACGATTCAGTTCAGCATCTCTTTTGCCGAAGCTCCTGCGCGCGAAAACCAAAAAACATAGTTGTATGTAAATGGTAATGTTAGCATTGATTTTCGCGGTTTTTGAATATATTAATCTTTTGCGCGCGCAATAGAGCATGTGCGTTTTCTAAATTCTCGTAACAGTCAAGGATCTGAAAACGTTCCCGTCTATAAAACTAGAGATATTGCTCCTAGTCTCGAATCAATAGTAATGTAACTAAGACATGAATAATGCTAGGTGTCCAAACATTGCGGTGATGAGGGCCGAGGAGAACTCAGAGGATAAAACGGATAACTTAGACCCGAGCAACAAAGTGGCCCAGTTAAAGGCAGATAAGAAAGTGTCTAGTAGCATCGAAGGAAAGTTTACTGGAAACATTATATGCAAAGAAGGTTTTTATGAATTTTATTTTAGATCCGAAAATTAAAATAGTGCTATTAAAATTGATTGATTTGACAAAAATTCATAAATTCCACTTTTAATATATTCATCAGGAAAGAAAGTGTTTTATAAGTCAGCAGTGGTTGAAAATGAAGCATTATCCCTGGGTGACTACGTTTCAATAGCTCCAGAAACCCCCGATATCCCATCTTATATTGGCAGGATCACCACTATGTTTACTAAGGGCGGTGAAAACCTTCTACACGTTCACTGGTTAAAGTAAGTACTAAGTACCCCTCTTCATCCTCCATCCCTCTCAAATACTCCTCATCATCCCTCAAATACCCCTCATCCTCCCTCACATCCCTCTCAAATGCCCCTCTTCTTCCATCCCCCTCTCAAATACCCCTCCTCCCTCTCCTTTCTCAAATACCCCTCACCCTCTCAACCCCTATCAAATACCCCTCCTCCCTCCCTCTTAGTCGTGCTGGAGACACAGTACTTGGTGAAGCACATGTAACCATAGTGACCCTCTTAGTCGTGCTGGAGACACAGTACTTGGTGAAGCACATGTAACCATAGTAACCCTCTTAGTCGTGCTGGAGACACAGTACTTGGTGAAGCACATGTAACCATAGTAACCCTCTTAGTCGTGCTGGAGACACAGTACTTGGTGAAGCACATGTAACCATAGTAACCCTCTTAGTCGTGCTGGAGACACAGTACTTGGTGAAGCACATGTAACCATAGTAACCCTCTTAGTCGTGCTGGAGACACAGTACTTGGTGAAGCACATGTAACCATAGTAACCCTCTTAGTCGTGCTGGAGACACAGTACTTGGTGAAGCACATGTAACCATAGTAACCCTCTTAGTCGTGCTGGAGACACAGTACTTGGTGAAGCACATGTAACCATAGTAACCCTCTTAGTCGTGCTGGAGACACAGTACTTGGTGAAGCACATGTAACCATAGTAACCCTCTTAGTCGTGCTGGAGACACAGTACTTGGTGAAGCACATGTAACCATAGTAACCCTCTTAGTCGTGCTGGAGACACAGTACTTGGTGAAGCACATGTAACCATAGTAACCCTCTTAGTCGTGCTGGAGACACAGTACTTGGTGAAGCACATGTAACCATAGTAACCCTCTTAGTCGTGCTGGAGACACAGTACTTGGTGAAGCACATGTAACCATAGTAACCCTCTTAGTCGTGCTGGAGACACAGTACTTGGTGAAGCACATGACGAGCGCGAACTGTTTCTCTCGGACTCGTGTGATGACGCTCCTTTAGGCTCTGTCCTCACTAAAGTTACTGTAAACTACTGCCCTCCTCCTCCTAACTGGAACATGATAGGTAATATTCTCACTTAATTAATTATACAGTTGTTTGCTGTGTTCATTACTATAAGTACTTATAAAACAATCACTCTGTTCAGGTGGCATGCCAGTTCCTGAGAAGAAGGATACAGCTTTATTCTTTAAGCTCTGGTATGACAGTGACAAAGCAAGGTAGGGTCGTTTTACCAACCCTGGTACGCGTTTTACCAACCCTGGTCTGCATTTGTTATGTTTCAATATTTGAGATACAATTTGTGGAACTCCTGCTGCATTTATATTTGGAAAGTTTGAAGCTAAAGAATTGTAACTTTGTCAGGTTTGAAGCTAAAGAATTGTAACTTTGTCAGGTTTGAAGCTAAAGAATTGTAACTTTGTCAGGTTTGAAGCTAAAGAATTGTAACTTTGTCAGGTTTGAAGCTAAAGAATTGTAACTTTGTCAGGTTTGAGTGTCCATTAAGGGAGTATCTGGAGTGGGAGGAGGAGGAGGGGTGCTGTCCTGCCTGTACTAGGAGGAGGGAGAGAGAAAGGGCGGCTATTCCTTTCTTAGGTTAGCAGTTAGTTAGTAGTTAGGGGGGATATTCCTTTCTTAGGTTAGCAGTTAGTTAGTAGTTAGGGGGGATATTCCTTTCTTAGGTTAGCAGTTAGTTAGTAGTTAGGGGGGATATTCCTTTCTTAGGTTAGCAGTTAGTTAGTAGTTAGGGGGGATATTCCTTTCTTAGGTTAGCAGTTAGTTAGTAGTTAGGGGGGATATTCCTTTCTTAGGTTAGCAGTTAGTTAGTAGTTAGGGGGGATATTCCTTTCTTAGGTTAGCAGTTAGTTAGTAGTTAGGGGGGATATTCCTTTCTTAGGTTAGCAGTTAGTTAGTAGTTAGGGGGGATATTCCTTTCTTAGGTTAGCAGTTAGTTAGTAGTTAGGGGGCAATTTGTTCTTCAGTTTATTTTAACCAGTCCAGTTATTTGCACCACACACTTTTTTAAAAAATCTAGACACTTATTTTACTTCGGAGTATTCCAACAGCCATATTGTTACACAAGTGCAACCAGCCAATTACAGGAAGCCGAAGGATTTGTTTTTAGCCAGTGACGGTTAAGGTAGTGTGTACCATACTTTCTTCGTCCGAGACTTTGCTGCAATGTGCAGCTCCTCATTTAACCCTCACACCCGATTTCTCGAGTATTCGGCTGAGTAGACCGGGGGGCTGCATAGACCACTCACGATCCTTAGCTGAATGTCAACGACACTCACCCCACGACCAGGCAGGCAGTGGGATTTGAACCCGCAACCTCACGATTGCAAAGCTGGCTAACCAACTGCGCTACCTGGCCGTTACTTGTCTCGAAAGGAATTGATTTTCCGAATTTGTACTACTTCTCCGATTGGGCATAAAACAACAATGTTTATCAGAAAAAGAGAAAGGTGTACTAAAATACAAGAACATTGAGTACAATGTGGGGGACTATGTTTACGTAAGATCAGACGCTTACTCAATGCCATCCAGGTACGTCATCATAAATTACAATTATTAATAATAATTAATAATCTAGTCGAATATTAAAAATATGTCCCTGAACTGCTGAACAGCTTTCATAATTTGTCTGTAGTTTTTACGCAATTTTGTTGTTTGTGAACAATACCTGAGACTGATTAAATTTACGAATAACAGATAAGTAACGGATAAAATAAGTCATTTTATTTCAGAGGAAAAAGCAATATCACAAAAATAAGAAAAGACAAAGTTGATGACGAAATGTTTCCAGGTGAATAAACTGTACACTCGATAGTACGTTATAAAAAGTTAATCGTGATTACTTAAGCTATTAGAAGATGGAGTTATGATTCTAAAACTGTTCTACAACGTCTGGAACTATTTCTGCATATTTTAAATAGTTTAATTCTACCGTATCTGACATCTCACAGAATACTACAGAAAGACCGACTACATCAAGGGAAATAACGACCTGGTTCCAGAAGTCTTCAGAATAGGCCGCGTCGTCAGTTTCTCAACCAAACAAGAGGGACTGGATGGGTCTTCTGTTAAGGTAAATAGGGACACAGTTAATTGACTAATTGATCTTCTGTTAAGGTAAATAGGGACACAGTTAATTGACTAATTGATCTTCTGTTAAGGTAAATAGGGACTCAGTTAACTGACTAATTGATCTTCTGTTAAGGTAAATAGGGACACAGTTAATTGACTAATTGATCTTCTGTTAAGGTAAATAGGGACACAGTTAACTTACTAATTGATCTTCTGTTAAGGTAAATAGGGACACAGTTAATTGACTAATTGATCTTCTGTTAAGGTAAATAGGGATTCAGTTAATTGACTAATTGATCTTCTGTTAAGGTAAATAGGGACACAGTTAACTGACTAATTGATCTTCTGTTAAGGTAAATAGGGACACAGTTAATTGACTAATTGATCTTCTGTTAAGGTAAATAGGGACTCAGTTAACTGAATAATTGATCTTCTGTTAAGGTTAATAGGGACTCAGTTAACTTACTAATTGATCTTCTGTTAAGGTAAATAGGGACTCAGTTAATTGACTAATTGATCTTCTGTTAAGGTAAATAGGGACTCAGTTAATTGACTAATTGATCTTCTGTTAAGGTAAATAGGGACACAGTTAACTGACTAATTGATCTTCTGTTAAGGTAAATAGGGACTCAGTTAACTGACTAATTGATCTTCTGTTAAGGTAAATAGGGACACAGTTAATTGACTAATTGATCTTCTGTTAAGGTAAATAGGGACACAGTTAATTGACTAATTGATCTTCTGTTAAGGTAAATAGGGACTCAGTTAACTGACTAATTGATCTTCTGTTAAGGTAAATAGGGACACAGTTAATTGACTAATTGATCTTCTGTTAAGGTAAATAGGGACACAGTTAACTGACTAATTGATCTTCTGTTAAGGTAAATAGGGACACAGTTAACTGACTAATTGATCTTCTGTTAAGGTAAATAGGGACACAGTTAATTGACTAATTGATCTTCTGTTAAGGTAAATAGGGACACAGTTAATTGACTAATTGATCTTCTGTTAAGGTAAATAGGGACTCAGTTAACTGACTAATTGATCTTCTGTTAAGGTAAATAGGGACACAGTTAATTGACTAATTGATCTTCTGTTAAGGTAAATAGGGACACAGTTAACTGACTAATTGGTCACTCAATTTGGTTTGATCCCAAATTGAGGTACTAGAAGTCAAAATCATAGTACTATCTCTTTTTTTCCCATTTTGAATGATAGGAGATATATTATCACAGTTTTTACTGAATGTTCCTCCAGCAACTAATTAATTATAAGTTATGAGTGGGCCTATTTATTACAGGTGACTGTTAAGAAGATGTACCGTGCAGAGAACCTAGTGGGTAACCATGGTAACATAGAGAACTTCTGTTCGGAGGCAGCCGACATCAACCTCCTCTTCTACAGTATAGATCAGGTAGACACCAGCTAAAGTCAATTATAACCTATTATAACATATATATTATATAACCTAGCCCTTTTTGTAGGAACCCAGTGAATCTTGCAATAGTAAGACCGCTATATTAATTTATTGTGTCTAAATCTAATCTAAGTTTTCTGTAGGTTAAAATACGCGCTGAAAAGATATTAGGTAAGTGCACAGTGCGACACAGGGAGGTTATTGAAGATCTGGGCAGGTACACAACTCTCCCCGACCATTTCTACTTCTCAGAGTGCTGGGATTCAGATACTAAAAGCCTGGAGGATATCCCCTCTGAGGCTAGGTGGGTAATAATAGTGGGTAATAATTATAGTGGGTAATAATAGTGGGTAATAATAGTGGGTAATAATAGTGGGTAATAATAGTGGGTAATAATAGTGGGTAATAATAGTGGGTAATAATAGTGGGTAATAATAGTGGGTAATAATAGTGGGTAATAATAGTGGGTAATAATAGTGGGTAATAATAGTGAGTAATAATAGTGGGTAATATTAGTGGGTAATTATAGTGGGTAATAATAGTGGGTAATAATAGTGGGTAATATTAGTGGGTAATAATAGTGGGTAATAATAGTGGGTAATAATAGTGGGTAATAATAGTGAGTAATAATAGTGGGTAATATTAGTGGGTAATTATAGTGGGTAATAATAGTGGGTAATACAAGTGGGTAATAATAGTGGGTAATAATAGTGGGTAATATTAGTGGGTAATAATAGTGGGTAATAATAGTGGGTAATAATAGTGGGTAATAATAGTGGGTAATAATAGTGGGTAATAATAGTGGGTAATACAAGTGGGTAATAATAGTGGGTAATATTAGTGGGTAATAATAGTGGGTAATAATAGTGGGTAATAATAGTGGGTAATATTAGTGGGTAATAATAGTGGGTAATAATAGTGGGTAATAATAGTGAGTAATAATAGTGGGTAATACAAGTGGGTAATACTAGTGGGTAATAATAGTGGGTAATAACAGTGTTACTGTAAGTGTACTATTTACTAACATCAGGTGTAGTAACAAAGGGAAAAAGAAGCGTGTAGACCTGGAGAGGAAGGAACCTTCCTTTAGGAAACTGAGAACTCTGGACGTGTTTGCGGGGTGCGGGGGTTTATCAGAGGGGTTCCATCAGGTAGCTACAACACTTACTACTAATAGTGCAACACTACTAGTTACTTCTAATAGTGCAACACTACTACTTACTACTAATAGTACAACACTACTGCTTACTACTAATAGTGCAACACTACTACTTACTAGTTACAACACTACTGCTTACTACTAATAGTACAACACTACTACTTACTAGTTACAACACTACTGCTTACTACTAATAGTACAACACTACTACTTACTAGTTACAACACTACTGCTTACTACTAATAGTACAACACTACTAGTTACTAGTTACAACACTACTGCTTACTACTAATAGTACAACACTACTAGTTACTAGTTACTACTACTTACTACTAATAGTGCAACACTACTACTTACAACTACTCACAATGTTCAACATGTTTTTAAAATTGATTTTTAAGGGCAATATTAATAAGATTAAACGATATTTCTAAATAAAACGATCCACTGTAATGACCTTCATTTTAGTTGGATGCGTGTAATTTCTGCAAAAAAGGTTCCAGCGATAATTTTCTATTTCAGGCTGGGGTAGCAGAATCTTGCTGGGCTATTGAGTTCTTCAGCGAGGCTGCCCAGGCGTACAAGCTGAACAACCCTAAAGCTGAGGTTTTCAATGAGGTTGGTGTTTAGTGAGCCTAATTAACGATACCTGGATGAGTTATATTATAAATGTTAAAGTTTCTGATTAATATCACGTGTTTAATATCACGTGTTTAATATCACGTGTTTAATATCACGTGTTTAATATCACGTGTTTAATATCACGTGTTTAATATCACGTGTTTAATATCACGTGTTTAATATCACGTGTTTAATATCTTACTTACTTGTACTTGATTAGGTCTCCTCAATCATTCGAGTGGCCTGCACCAATGAACTCCCGTTTGTGACGTATCATCTCCCTCCAAAGTTTTCGGTCACTAGCCATCTCGCTCGCTCCTTCTAGGTCTATGTCAGTGTTTCCTGTAAACGCTGCAGCATCTTCCAGCAAACATTTCATCCAGTTCTTTCTTGGACGGCCCCTAGATCTTCTCCCATGCGCAGGGGTCCAGTTAAGCAGGTACTTAGGAAGCCTAGTGTCTGGCATTCTGGTGACATGGCCAAACCAACGCAGGCGGTTTGCTCCTATGAACGTCTCTACTGGATTTATCTTTGCACGCTCCAGCACTTCAGTGTTTCTAACCCGATCGAGCCATCTTATCCTAAGTATTCTCCTCAAGCAACGCTGATGGAACACCTCAAAGCGATGTAGCTGCTTTTTGGTTGTGTTCCAAACCTCACTACCATATAACAATATTGTCAAAACTGCTGCCTTATAAATCCTGATCTTTGTATAAGACTGGATGTTGCGGTTTTTCCATATATTACTCAGTTGATTGAAGGCTCCGGAAGCTTTCTGAATCCTAGCTGACAGCTCACGGTCGATAGTACCGTCGCTGGAAATAATTGTACCTAAGTACGTAAAGTCACTAACTTGCTGCACTGGCGTGTCTTCAACAGTGATGTTCACTGTGGCTTCTTTCGTGTATGGCCGTTGAGAGGTTGCTTTACCAATGACCATAGCCTCAGTCTTTTTACCATTGATTCTGAGACCTCCCTGGGCACCATACATACACAAAAGGTCAGTTGTTTCTTGAAGACCTTCCTCGCTGTTATCCAGTACAGCCATGTCATCTGCATAGTCTGTATCTAACACAGTGATATCATCAACAAGCGGACTGATAGATCTTTGAAGAACCGCTCCGTGGGACACCACTTTGTTGCTTTCTGTTCTCTCAGCAGCCACATTGAGGCAGACATTAAAAAGTGGGGGACCCTGAATGTCTCCTTGGCCACTGCCTGAACTTACTTCAAACCATTCTGATAGTTCACCATTGTGTCTAACAGCACTGACAGTTCCATTAAAGAATGCCTGTATTATTCGAATGTATTTACATGGCAGGCCATAATGACTGAAAGCTTTCCAAATATAATTCCTGTCGATAGAATCAAAAGCTGCCTTGAAGTCCACAAAATTAACATACAGGGGGAGATTATATTCAATGCAGTTATGTATAATAGTGCGGAGTGAATAAATCTGATCAATGCATGATCTGTTCTTTCTGAACCCACACTGATTGTCTCGTAGCAAACTTTCTAAACCGTCACTCATGCGTTGTAAAATGATGATTTGATACAGTTTCGATGCTGTAGATCTTAAAGTGATCCCCCTATTATTGGAGCAATGAGAGGTATCACCCTTCTTTGGTACAATTATCACGATGCCTTTCAACCAGTCGTCAGGCACTGCTTCTGAATTCCAAACTTTAGAGAACAATTTCTCCATCCTATCCACAAGACCGCTTGCCCCATACTTTAACTGCTCATTAGAGATTTCGTCAATCCCAGCACTTTTGTGGTTCTTCAATTTTTTGAGACAGTTTAAAATCTCAAGTCCAGTGGGTGGACCATCACCATCACCAAGATACGGAAAGCATGGAACCACTTCAAGATGGTCCAGGTCAGACAGATCCGCATTCGTGGGAGGAGGGTTTAATAGCTCCGAAAAATGTTCTCCCCATCTCTCTCTCTGAGCAGAGGGATCAGCAATCAACTTCCCGGATTTGTCTCTTACAGCAGTTGATTTTCGATTCTTCTTACCGGACAGTGTTTTTATCCGTTGCCAGACTTCCCTTTGCCGGCCATGGACAGCAGCTGTTTCCAGATCTGCTGCAACTCTAAGAGCCCAATTCTCGTCGTCTTTCCTGCAGCTCTTTTTGACAAGTTTGTTGGCCCGAGAATACTCGCTCCTATTGTTTTTGTCACTAGGCGCCATCTGTTTAATCTTACTGCGTTCTGCAATAAGGCTTTTTGTCTCCTGAGACAAATGCTGCTGCTTTCTGCGCCGGGGGCGCTCACCCAGTACCTCCATAGACACTTCTTTAATAGTATCCTTAACTAATGTCCATTCTCCATCAAGATTCTCCTCCATTGGTAGGCAGCTAAAACGATTTTGAAGAGCAATGCAGTACTCTTCAACCTTGGACTGATCTCTAAGATTCTCAATTGCTGGAGATTTCCTACGAGAGGCGTTCATTTTTTGAACTGCCATAAGTTTGACTCTAAATTGACCCCGAACCAAATAATGATCGGAGCCAATGTCTGCACCCCTGCATGATCTTACGTCAAGTAGAGAGTGACTCCACTTGGTAGAAATACAGACATGGTCAATCTGATTTACTGTGCGGCCATCTGGAGACTTCCAACTTCCTTTATGAATATCACGATGCTGGAAAAGCGTCCCACCGATTGTCAGTTGATGCAATGCACAGAAATCTAATAGTCGAAGGCCGTTGTCATTTGATGAAACGTGAAGGGAATGCTTACCAATCACACCGGACCAAGCTGAGTTATCTTGGCCAATGCGAGCATTTAGATCTCCAAGTAAAAACTTCACGTCATGAGCTGGTAGTTCATCAAATGCCCCAGATAGCTGCTGATAAAAGTCATCCTTTACTCCGACTGCTGCATCCTCAGTTGGAGCATAAGCTATCACAATCGAAATGTTGATATGTCGACTGTGCAGCCTCGCTGCAAGAATACGTTCTGATATCGGACTGTATGAAATCAATGAATTTTTAGTCTTCTTCGAGAGGACTAAACCAACCCCTTGTCGTCTGTACCCATCACTTCTTCCTGAGTTAATAAAGAGGGACCCATCATCCAAGGTAACCTCACCAGTGCCGGGTCTGTGCGTCTCTGTCAGCCCCAAGACATCCATTTTATATGCTGACATATTCTGTGACAATTCATACAGCTTTGAGGAACTGCTCTCCAATGATAACACATTCCACGTTCCCACATTAATGCTGTGTTTGATAAAGTTGCATGGGAGTGCTCTCCCCTTCTCCGGGTCCACATGAGTGATATGCTGTGAACTAATAACACTGTTGAAATTAGGCGACTTCTTTGTTCTCATCTGCACACTGGGGTCCTTGCGGCTTTGCCCAGAGCACTTCATCCTGGCTACACCCCTCCTTGAACTCCGAGAGTCACTCCACTTTTGGTTATTCATTGATGTTTCAGTAGCTATTTTAAGGTTGAAGGGTAGCTGGCCCCTCGAACCTGGTAGTTATTTATCGACCTTTACTGGTCTAGATCCATAGTTTTTTGTTGCACCTCATCTGTTTAAACTGGAATCACCCAGAACAGATTACTGTACTTAATAGTGGCACCTCGTAAAGGGTGTACTATGGTCATTGAAATAGGAGAGGTTATAAGTTACACGATCACTATTTCCTGAGATTATAAAAATCTCTTGTCACGTGTTTAATATCACGTGTTTAATATCACGTGTTTAATATCACGTGTTTAATATCACGTGTTTAATATCACACGTGTTTAATATCACGTGTTTAATATCACGTGTTTAATATCTCGTGTTTAATATCACGTGTTTAATATCACGTGTTTAATATCACACGTGTTTAATATCACGTGTTTAATATCACGTGTTTAACAGGATTGTAACGCGGTGTTGAAGATGGCAATAGATGGGGTCCCTACTAACAAACTGGGTCAGCAGATACCACAGAAGGGTGAAGTGGAACTCTTATGTGGGGGTCCACCCTGTCAGGTTTATTTAAGAGGACAACCCTCTATATATATAGAATATATATATTATAGAGGACAACCAAACAAACATCATTACAATTTGATTCGACGGTTCACTTGACTCAATGTAAAAGATAACAGTGAAAAAAGCGACCCTGCTAAAAATGTTTTGAATTTTGCACTAAAACGCAGCATTATAAGATAAAAATATTGTTTTTGATAATTCTACTATATAATATAATTCTGTTCTTCAGGGCTTCAGTGGGATGAACAGATTTAACGCGCGGGAATACAGCATGTTTAAAAACAGCCTTATTTCCTCCTACCTCAGCTATTGTAAGTTCCTCCTACCTCAGCTATTGTAAGTTCCTCCCGGTAATGCCTAGATTTAGTTGAGAAATTTCACGGGTAAAAAGGGAAAAGCGCTTTCTAGCCTGTTTTTAAACATAATTTACTACCATTACAAACGAATAGAAATAGAAAGTTCGCAAAGGTACGTGAACCTGAACTCATTGTACACAACTTTATTTTCAGGTGAGTTTTACAGGCCACGCTACACAACTTTATTTTCAGGCGAGTTTTACAGGCCACGCTACTTTCTGCTTGAAAACGTGCGCAACTTCGTATCTTACAAGAAGAACATGGTGCTGAAACTGTGCCTATCTTCACTCGTAAATATGGGGTGAGTTACACGTGTTACTGATCACGTGTTACTGTTTTACTGATCACGTGTTACTGGTTTACTGATCACGTGTTACTGGTTTACTGATCACGTGTTACTGGTTTACTGATCACGTGTTACTGGTTTACTGATCACGTGTTACTGGTTTACTGATCACGTGTTACTGGTCACGTGTTACTGGTTTACTGATCACGTGTTACTGGTTTACTGATCACGTGTTACTGGTTTACTGATCACGTGTTACTGGTTTACTGATCACGTGTTACTGGTTTACTGATCACGTGTTACTGGTTTACTGATCACGTGTTACTGGTTTACTGATCACGTGTTACTGGTTTACTGATCACGTGTTACTGGTTTACTGATCACGTGTTACTGGTTTACTGATCACGTGTTACTGGTTTACTGATCACGTGTTACTGGTTTACTGATCACGTGTTACTGGTTTACTGATCACGTGTTACTGGTTTACTGATCACGTGTTACTGGTTTACTGATCACGTGTTACTGGTTTACTGATCACGTGTTACTGGTTTACTGATCACGTGTTACTGGTTTACTGATCACGTGTTACTGGTTTACTGATCACGTGTTACTGGTTTACTGATCACGTGTTACTGGTTTACTGATCACGTGTTACTGGTTTACTGATCACGTGTTACTGGTTTACTGATCACGTGTTACTGGTTTACTGATCACGTGTTACTGGTTTACTGATCACGTGTTACTGGTTTACTGATCACGTGTTACTGGTTTACTGATCACGTGTTACTAGTTTACTGATCACGTGTTACTGGTTTACTGATCACGTGTTACTGGTTTACTGATCACGTGTTACTGGTTTACTGATCACGTGTTACTGGTTTACTGATCACGTGTTACTGGTTTACTGATCACGTGTTACTGGTTTACTGATCACTTGTTACTGGTTTACTGATCACGTGTTACTGGTTTACTGATCACGTGTTACTGGTTTACTGATCACGTGTTACTGGTTTACTGATCACGTGTTACTGGTTTACTGATCACGTGTTACCAGGTACCAGTGCACGTTTGGCGTGCTACAGGCAGGATGTTACGGGGTGGCACAGACTCGACGCAGAGCCTTTGTTTTAGCCGCTGCTCCCGGAGAAGTACTCCCACAATTTCCTGAGCCTAGGTGAGATATTGTGGAGAGTTTAGTACAGTATATAAGATTGTTATCAAAGGTTAAGTTTTCTTGATAATTTAAAAAACAATTTCTCGCGTATCATTCTTCAAGGGGGGGGGGGTTCACCCTGATTTTAACATTCTTTCTCGCGTAACCATGGTAACATTCTTTAAGGGGGGGGGGGGGGGGTAACCATGGTAACACCCTGCTTTTAACATTCTTTAACATTCCAACGTGGTTTATGCTTTGAAATATTTCTATTGATAAATAGATAAACAATAGAGCCACTGCTTATATAATTAGTTAAACAAACAAAATTACATACTTGTACTGGTAAATCGATTTAATTTATATCTTCACTTAGAGTTCTACGTTCTTTTACCAATATTCATGAACTTGGCCCATGACTCCCAGGATTAATACAAATTTCGAAACCACGAACCAAGCCTCACCCTCAACAAAGTGTTAGCGTTAGAAGGGTACTGGATTGAGAGAGGGGGGACCTGAACCGGTCACACAACGCCAGGTTAAATCCTTACTCAAACTGTAAAGGAGAACCTGCACGACCTAGCACGTGCTGAGAGCTCGCTGAGTACCCTGTATACTGCAGGGTCCTACCAGCGCCAGGTCAGTACACTTCAGTAGAGTTACGAGTTTACCCTTATAAGTTCAATACTGCAGTTTCATATCCGACGTCAATTAATTTATCTTTGATCTTGCGGTCTCACCTAGTTGTAGAACTGTAAAGGAAGTATATCATAACTCTAAATCACAGGAAGACGTCTGTTGGTAAGTACCTGGCCGGTATAGCTGGGACAACAGTTTACCGATTAATAAAACCACGAACACACGGAACCTACAGGATACGTGGGTAGTTATCAGTGCGGGAGAACGACAAACTTCGTTCTTTAAAGAAGTTGGGAAGCTCTACATATTACTTTTTTCCAAATTATAAATAAGCTATTTCGACAATAGATACTTTTATGGACAGATTTTCCGACATTTCTTTCCTCATGACAGTCTCTGTGGAAGCAATGAGAGCCGGACACTGGTTGATCCTGACGAGTTGCAACCTGGCACCAACTGACGTTCTTGGAATCGATGACAAGACCCGAAGACAATAGAGGAGCTTTCATCGCAGAACTCAGATACCTGTAAAAGCCACCCTCATTTCATGTTGTTTGCGACACAGAACCCAGCTGGTGGAGTGAGAGGCTTCTAGACATATTCAATTGGGACATGTTGGTTTCGTGCGTTACTTTTCCAAGAAAAAGTGCGTTTGGTTCGTGAAATTTTTTCGTGCGTTTAAGTGCGGTAACGTGTGTCTGCCTTTACATACGAGGTTTTACGAATAAAAAAATGTCAAAATTCTTCATTCCCTACATCTTACTAAGGGGTGTAAAAGAGAACTACCACGTGCAGCTGCAACCAGTCTTATTCAGATGCACGATATTGCCGCAAGATTACCGTGGTAAGTACAAGTTTTTCTCCACTTTTTCCGTCCCACGGTCACTGATTTGTTAGCAACAGATTTAAAAGTGCGTTTGTAAAAAAGTTTTCGTGCGAAAGTGCGTCGGTTTAAAAGTGCGTTTAAGTGCGCACGAAGCAACTAAGATTTTGGGATAACTGGTATTCGCAATTTCCTGAATATTCCTTTCCATTATAATAAAAATGGACCCGCCATTCGCTCCTTGGTGAGTTCTTGCGCTTCCTCCTGGAAACTTTACAAAACGTGGAATGGCGACGGGTATAATTCCCTCTTACGGTAAAAACCCCCGGTATTCTTTTTTGTGATTTCATTGTATAAACGTTTGAACATTACATTCCAGTAGCTATGGAGGCAGAAAAACTCACTCACGAGCCTTTAGAGAATCGGATTCAATTGAGTTACATTATGAAATTTGCCCCTTGTCTGAGATAAAGACAAATCATAGAAGAACGCTGCCAACTTCCTCCTTCTTACAGTAAAAAGATTATCTCGGTGATGGAAAAGCTTCCAGGTATTATATAAGGTGTGCTCAATTTAAAATTGAGAGTTTACACAGTTGTCTAAAATTGCTAATATACCCAAGGTAAACATGTACCTGGCATGGAAATCAGCATATTGATTAAATTGTGCTTGACGCGTACATAATATACAAAATATATAAAATATACAAAAATTCCTATTATCGTATTTACTCATTAATCAGCCGCTCGAAGCCAAGATTTATAATCAACGCACTGATCAAACCCCACTGTTGGACAACGCATGTGTTTTAGTCTAAATTTTTTTATGAACACTGAGCCGCAGTCGGGGCGTTAACCACAGAAAATTTTGCAGTTTTTGCATTATTCTCTACGCAAGCCACTCCACGATCCTTTGTTTTGCTGCCGAAGTTTGTAATCCAATAGTTCAAATTACGATTCTGAAATAACGATCGTTTATTTCCAAAAACTTAATCATAGTCATAAACTCATAGTCTTTTATAATTAATATCTTTAAAATTAATATCATTATCATGTACAAGTTATAAATAGTTTATTACAATAATCTAAAAGCGAAATTACTATCATAACAGCACTATTTTTAGTTCCACACATTCCTTACTGTGCCTTCCCTTCGCTTCCCTTACGCTAAAACCACCGTGAAGCAGCCGACTGCGGTAATACTGGCAAACTGAGAGTGCACAGTTTGGCATAGTTTAAATATTGCGAATTTTCTGGGTTCACTAATCACATGATTCGGCGTGTGTGCAACTCATGAGTCAAAACTTCTTCATAGAATCTCGAAGTAACCACGGTCGTCTGTTTTTGTTTTTTCAATAGTTGTGATAAATCATCCAAAACGCCGGTCTATAGATCAGAGAGAGGTTGATGTTGCGTCCAATTATATCATCGCTCACAGCCGTGCCGATTAGTTTTTAGAGTTAATAAGGCGCTGCATCCTATAGAATGTATTAATCCATAAGTCTGGCTTAACCCAAGACGCACAACGCTGATATCCAATCTCCGGCGCACAATTCGAGTCCTGGGCACTGCTCGTGTCGTTCTAGCTGAAAGCGTTCTTACTTTATGGTAACAATAGTGAAAAAAAGGGGGTGGCGTGCCACACCCTCTCTAATCAATGAAATTTTACGAGACTTTTAGGAAATCTAAGTTCGACTTATACGGTATCTATATTCTCTGAAATTGTTGTGCAATTCTGACACGAATTACATGAGTTATTAAAGGATTGCATGTTGGCAGTTACTTCTGGGCCACCCTGTAATCTGTATATATACATAATATAATATCAAACAAAAAAGCCACAGAATTAATTTAAGAGTATGAATAGAGATTTAGCAGATGTGTCTATTTGAAGAGCACTCACCAGAATCTCGCCATAATCTGTTAACATGAACCAGCATGATGTCAACTAGCAGGACCTGGACATGGCAACAAGCCAATTTAATTAACTCACTCATTCCGTGTTGTGAAACCAATATTCTCAGAGTTTTGACTGAAAGGGTATTATACTTTGATCGTAATGTTTGTGAATATGATGAAACTAGTGTAACCCGTGGCTACGGCCGGGACTTTACTATCGCAGTTGAATTGCAAAAGTATAAACGGTGCAAAAGTTAAAATTGTGCAAAAGTATAAACTCGCTCAGTTAGAGTAAATTTAATTTTAAGCGCCCATCACGTAATACAAGTATCCAATAGTAATACTTAATAGGCTCCACTGCCAAATTACCTAATTATGTACAAAGCAGTAATTAGGGAGATGTAAATGGGGAGAGAAAGTGAGAGAGAGAGTGTGAGAGAGGGACAAAAAGTGAGTCACTTTAATATCACATTTGCAGTACAAAACCATTAATTAAACCACTTACCACCGACCGATTTGAAAAACCTTAATCACTTGGCTTCGTCAGAGTTTTGTCCAAATTGAAAACCTCGTTTAAAAAGCTTTAATGTAAAAGATCTAACAACGCAGGAATAATAAAATAGTTATCACAATACCTCAAAAGTAAACCTGGAGCAGACCTTGTTTTCCTGAAGAAAAATAATTATCAATAGAAATAATTTGAATAACATGAAATGAAATAACTAATTAATGAATTGATACGTAGTTTAATGGGGGGGGGGGGGGGGGGGGGGTGTCATGTCCGTCTATGTCCGCCTATGTCCTGTCCTTTTTGGATTCTATGAGACAACGGACGTGTTTTTTGGGACATTGGCGGACACGGACGGACATTGGCGGACTCGGACGGACATTGGCGGACTCGGACGGACATTGGCGGACCCGGACGGACATTGGCGGACTTGGACGGACTTTGGTCGACATTAGCGGACATTGGTGGACATTAGCGGACAAACATTTTGAGGACTGAAGAGTACTGAAGAGTACTGAAGAGTACCGAAGAGTACTGAGGAGGATGGCTGAGGAGGATGGCTGAGGAGGATGGCTGAGGAGGATGGCTGAGGAGGATGACTGAGGAGGATGGCTGAGGAGGATGACTGAGAGGGAGGAGAAGGATCAGGAAGACCCAGGAGGAGGAGGAGGAGGACCCAGAAGGAGGACCTAGGAGGAGGAGGAGGATAACTGAGGAGGATGACTGAGGAGGAGGAGGACTCAGGAGGACTGAGGAGGACTGAGAAGGAGGAGGACTGAGGAGGATGGCTGAGGAGGATGGCTGAGGAGGATGACAGAGAGGGAGGAGGAGGAAGAGGAGGAAGAGGACTGAGGAGGAGGAGGAGAAGGACTGAGGAGGAGAAGGACTGAGGAGGAGGAGGACCCAGGAGGAGGAGGACCCAGGAGGAGGACCCAGGAAAAGGCCCCAGGAGGAGGAGGACTGGGGAGGAGGAGAACTGTTGAGGACTGATGAAGAGGACTGAGGACGAGGAGGAGGAGTAGGAGGAGGACTGAGGAGGGGAGGAGGAAGAGGACTGGGGAGGATCAGGAAGACCCAGGAGGACCCAGGAGGAGGAGGACCCAGGAGGAGGAGGAGGACTGAGGAGGATGGATGAGGAGGATGGCTGGGGAGGATGGCTGAGGAGGATGACTGAGGAGGATGACTGAGAGGGAGGAGGAGGAGGACTCAGGAGGAGGACTCAGGAGGAAGAGGAGGAGGAGGACTCAGGAGGAGGACTTAGGAGACATGAGAAGGAGGACTGAGGAGAACTGAGGAGGAGGAGGAGGAGGAGGAGGAGGACTGAATAGGAGGAGGAGAAGGAGGGGGACTGGGAGAGGACTGGGGAGGAGGAGGACTGATGAGAAGGATGAAGAGGAGGACCCAAGAGGAGGAGGACTGAGGACCGAGGAGGAGGAGGACCCAGGAAGAGGAGGACTGAGGAGGACTGAGGAGGATGGCTGAGGAGGATGACTGAGAGGGAAGAGGAGGAGGAGGAGGAGGACTCAGGAGGAGGAGGAGGAGGAGGACTGAGGAGGACGGCTGAGGAGGACTGAGAAGGAGGAGGACTGAGGAGGATGGCTGGGGAGGATGGCTGAGGAGGATGACTGAGGAGGATGACTGAGAGGGAGGAGGAGGACTCAGGAGGAGGACTCAGGAGGAAGAGGAGGAGGAGGACTCAGGAGGAGGACTTAGGAGAAATGAGAAGGAGGACTGAGGAGAACTGAGGAGGAGGAGGAGGACTGAATAGGAGGAGGAGAAAGAGGGGGACTGGGAGAGGACTGGGGAGGAGGACTGATGAGAAGGATGAAGAGGAGGACCCAGGAGGAGGAGGACTGAGGACCGAGGAGGAAGAGGAGGAGGATGAAGAGGAGGAGGAGGACCCAGGAGGAGGAGGATTGAGGAGGAGGACTGAGGAGGACTGAGGAGGATGGCTGAGGAGGATGACTGAGAGGGAAGAGGAGGAGGAGGACTCAGGAGGAGGAGGACTCAGGAGGACTGAGAAGAAGGAGGACTGAGGAGGAGGAGGAGGAGGAGGACTGAATAGGATCAGGAGGAGGATGGGGACTGGGAGAGGACTGAGGAGGAGAATGGAGGACTGAGGAGAAGGATGAGGAGGAGGACTGAGGAGGACTGAGGACTGAGGAGGAAGAGGAGGAGGAGGACCCAGGAGGAGGACCCAAGAGGAGGACTCAGGAGGAGGAGGAGGACTGGGGAGGAGGAGGACTGTTGAGGACTGATGAGGAGGAC